CTGACTTCAGAGACTTTACTTCAGTGTCATAAATTTAGAGCTGAAAAAAGACTTTGGAGATCATCTCATCCAGCTCCCACAAATGAGGAACCTGAAGCCCAGAGAGGTTTAGTGATTTACTGCTGGCCATCTCATAGTGGGGGAAAGAACCAGGAATCAAACCCTGGTCCTTGGATTCTAGATCCATCTCCCTTTCTACTGTTCTACATTGTCTTTATGTCATGGAGTGTCTCTCCTGTTCTTAATACCCAGTCTCTCATTATCACTATCTCTATTTCAAAAAGAAGAGTATTAATAAACTTTTTACATGATTAGCTTGAAGACACTTGTCATGTCCATAGTGAAACCAGAGAGACCCAAAATCTTCAGATTATTAGACTCGTAAACCATTGAATCACAGAATGTTAGAGCTGGAAGGAACCTATATAATCGATGCCATCTTTTTTTAATGATGAGAAAGCTGGGACCCAGAAGGGCAAAAAACTTGTCCAAGGCCAAAGTATAAAAGGCAGGAATCACACTCTGGTCCATTACGTTGAAATCTAGTGTACGTTCCACCACCTCTTACTTTATAAAATGCTGCCCCTAAAGCTTTACTTTTCTTGCCTTTTTCTTTAGATTGCATTTCTTATCTATAGTTGTAGTCAACTTAAACACTTAACAAAAAGAACAAGTTTTATTTTAATAGTAAACATTTCTCGCTGCCAAATTCAAATTTAAACTTCACACCGATGAATGTCTGCCTTAATGCCATGTATGTGCTTCTAGGAGTTTAGGAATTAAAAAGATTGCAGTAGGAAACTAAAAAGTGAATTTAGTCAAAGCAATGTCCTACAAAATAATCATTATAAAATTCAAGAAAAAAGAAAAAATCATGTAATTAGTCAACAAATGTCTGTTACATAAGATTCTGTGGAGAATGCAAAAGTGTTAAAGTTTCCATGTTTAACATATCAGTTTAAAAAGATGAGACGTATACAAAAATTATAGAAAAAATGGAGCAATAAATGGGATTGTGTTGGCTGGGAAGGAAGAGAACTCTGCATTTAAGCAGAGTCCTCAGAAGCATAAGACTGCATGCTCATAAAATGCTTGATTATATGACTGTAATCACTATACACTAATGATATGAGAGAGGGGATCCTAAATGGCCCACCTGGGTTCAAATCATGCCTTTGACACACATTGACTCATTGTTTGACCAGGGTCAAATCAAGGCCCTTGTGAATCCTCTAAGATTATTGAGCCCACTAATTTTTGATCTTCTGTATAAGGAGTTTCTATACTTGTGAGACTCCTAATGCCAATGAAACCACAGATCTGGAACAAAACAAAATAATACAAAAATGATACAAACATTTCACCAAAGAGTTTCATGAAGTACTCCATGTTCTCTTATCTTTAGTAAAGTGCGGTAATAAGTATGACTTTGTGTTCACCTCATTCCTCTTCATGGAAACGTAGAATATTAGAGCCAAAAGTAAGAGCATCTAGTCATATAACTAATAACTGGCCCATCTGGAATTTGAACACTGTCCTTTAGACTTGTAGACAAATATTATTTTTTCATTATTTTAACTTTGTTTTCCCTTTTGCTATCTTCGTCGTTTTATATCTGCAATAGTTTTCATTTCTATGCTACATCCAGTCAAAAGTTATGTCACAGGTATCCTCTTTCACCACTAGATGGCACTTGTGCCTGGATTTAGGACAACACCTGATTTTAAAAGTTACACTACTAAAGGTGGGGTGAAGGGGGAGATTTTTAGTTTCAGTAAAAAATGCACCTGCATCTGAGTGTTGCTTCGGAACTTCAGAAGAAGAGAGTGCACCAAGGATGCAGAGGTCAAAGAAGTGCTCTTGGAATAAGTGACACAAACATTAAGTATTGAAAAATAGGTAGGAATCTGGTAAGGAGACTGAAGGGAAAACATTCAAGGTTGGAGTTATTTCTGTAAGTTCCTAGAGCATGGCAGTGGGGTCACTGAATTTGGACGGGGAAAAAAAATCTATCTTTATTTTCACAAACCTCTAACTAAAATTTAGCATTTCTTTCAGTTTTGAATTTTTATCAAAAATATTATTCTGAGGATTCCATAGGCTTCATCAGACTGCCAAAGTAATCTATCACACACATATATAACTTCCTGTCCTGGAGATAAAGGGAAACTGATAACCTTAGCTATTGCCCCAGGCATTTAGGAAAATAGAGCAGTTGGGGCTGAGGGGAGAATTTGCATGGGGAAATAGGGCTGATCCACCATTTCAAGACATGCATATTATACATGGGCTCAGTATTTTTACCTAGGTTTCCCAGCTTACACTGGCAGCTACTAGTATGCATTTTACAAAATGGCCAGTCAGTATGGTTGACATAGTCTGTGCCTGGGGAACAGAGTGAACCCAATTGGCTCATACAGACAGTAAACTCATCAGTAAACACAAAATTATTTAAGGCTCATTATAAGCCAGGCACTTGCTAAGCACTTGGGATACTTAAAAAAAGTCAAAAACATAGTCCCTACCTTTAAGAAACTCACATTAAAATGGGTGAGACAACAGGTAAACAGCTAAGTATGTACACTACACACACATGCACACACACACAGCACATGCATACAGATGCTTCCCCCTTTACATGCACACAATACACATTTGTATTTATAGAATGCATATGCACATTTATGCACGTTTGCATGTGTTTATATTATAAATGGGAGGTAATCTCAGAAGGAAGTCCCTAGTCATTGTGGTGGGAGGGAAAAAAACCGTTGCAGAAGTGGGAGTGGGAAATTTGAGCTGAGTCCTAAAGAAAGTCAGGAAAGCTAAGAGGAGGAAGAGGCAAGCATTCCAGGTACAGGGGAAAACCACAGCAACTGAATAGAGTAGGTAGATGGAGTGTTATGTGTGAGGAATTACAAGTAGGCCACAGAATGTGTGGAAAGTAGTAAAGTGTAAGAAGACTAGCAAGGTAGGAAAAGTCTGAGTTGTGAAGGGCTTAAATGCCAAAAAGAATATTTGATATTTGATCTAGGATGTTATGTAGGAAACAAATAGGCAACCCAGGCCTCACATTATACTGAAGAATAGAAGAGCTGAACCAAGTAAATCAATCAGCCTAAAGAAAGAATATTTGCCACAAATGCCTAGAAGTTGGTTTGCTTTGTAAACAAAAAAGTGTGTGCTACCTGAACCTAGAATCTCATAGTTTAAGGGTTTGACAAGTATACAAATGGGGTCTCTACCCACCACTGTTCTGAAGAAGGGCGCTAAAACAGTAAATCTATTTGGAACACCTAAAAGATTAGTTATGACATGCTCTATCTCTTTTCAGTGTTCTAATAAGGAAGGTAACATGTAGCTTGCCTCCTAGTTCTAAATCACTTATCCTAAGATCCTATCATCTCTTGAGCTTCTATACCTACAAATGTTTCCTTTAGGTATAATATTCCAATGCCAATTAGCATATATGTATGATGTAGCTGTATATATATTTAGTATTATGTATTTATGTACATATTTAATATTAGTCCTTAAGTTAATAATTTGAAGGTAATACCTTCTGAAATATTGTTCAAACAAATGTGGTCCCCATGAGTCTAAAGTTAGGACAGAGCTCAGACCTATGATTTCAGTATAGGGAATTCCCAGGGGAAGAAACCACCTCTTCCAATGTAGGTTGGCACTTGCTTTGAAATGACAGTCTTAGAAAGCTGTCCATAGTACTGAGAAGTGAAATAACTTGCCCAGGATCATACAGCCACAGTATGTATCAGAGGCAAGAGGGGAAATAGGTCTTCCTGGATATGAAAACATCTCTCTAATCAACTATGCCATGCTGCCTCTTATATCATAAGATTACAGTTAATGTTTAAATATTTTAGTTTTTGCCTACAATTCTCTATGTCTTGTTTATGAAAACTTCATTAGATTATCCAAAATCAATTAAAGTTAACTAAAGTTTCTTAGAATGCTTTGATTTTCTTTTTGGAAACAAATGGAGGAGACAATACTCATCCCCATCTAGTTAAGACTAAGACAGGAAGGTTAGTTCGCATTACTTCCCTTCATGCACTCAAGATCTGTCCAAACTAGACTGTTTCCCAATCCCTCTGGGCTTTATGCATTTGCACAAAAATCCTAACCTAGAGGCAGCTAGATGGAGGCCCTGAAGTCAGGAGGATCTAAATTCAAATTTGGCCTCAGACCAAATACTTGACACTTCCTAGCTATGTGACCCTGGGCAAGTCACTTAACCCCAGTTGCCTAAAAAAAAAAATAAAATCCTTACCTCCATGTGAGGCTTAGTTTGATTGCTACTTCTTTCTGTGATTTCCCTCAGCTTCAAGTCCCCCCCTCCTCAAAATACTTTGTATTTACTTATCTGCGTACAAGGTAGTGGGTTAGTCCTCTATTTTGATACAAGGTCCTTGAGGGCAGTAACTTTTGGCCCCCTATTCCTTGTACCTATCCAAGTGCCTTATAGGTAATAGCTCCTTAATAATTGTTAGTTGAATTGAATTGAGTGTTTGTGTCTCACAATTAGAATAAAGCACACATACACAAAATTCCACTGTAAGTCCAGGCTTTCAATTTTTCAAAGTTGATAGAGCTAAAATTTGTTCAACAAACCTTTTCATGTGGTAGGTTAGTTTAATTCAAATATTTATGTAACCCCTACTATGTGCAAGGCACTGGAAATATGAAGGTGTAATGGCATAGTTCAGGCCTTTAAGTATCATAGAATGGTTGGATAATAGAAAGGACCCAAGAAACCATTTAGTACAACCCCTTAATTTTTTTTTCAAATACATTATTGGTAGAGTTTCGGATTGATCCAACTGTCCTGGAAAATGATTTGGAATTGGGCCCCAAAAGTTACTAAACAATGCATGATGCCCTTTGACCAAGCAGTATTGCTACCAAGCCAATACTCCAAAGAGACGGGAAAATGTCTTATGTGTACAAAAACATATATAGCAGTTCTTTTTGTGGTAGAAAAGAACTGACAATGAAATGGTGCATAAAAATTGAGGAACGGCTGAACAAATTATGGTATGTGAATATAATAGAAACTATGCACTGTAATTAATGAAGAAAGACTGTTTAGAGAGATCTGGGAAGACTTTTATGAACTACTGCGGGGAGAAGTAAGTAAAACACGAAGAACAATTTATACTATAACAGATTTTACAAAAAGAACAATTCTGAAATACTCAAGATTGGTAGAGTAAATAATAAGCCTTGATTCCAAAGGACTGATAAAGAGGAACATTTCTTACCTCCTAACAGAGATGATGGACTAATATGCAAATTAAGATATGAATTTTTGGACATAGCCAATATGGGAATTTGACTGTGATTATATGATGCAACAATTTCTTTTTCTTTCTTCTTTCTTTTCTTTCTTTTTCTTCCTTTCTATTTCCTTCCTTCTTTTCTTTCTTCTTTCCTTCCTTTCCCTCTGTCTGTCTCTCTCTGTCTCTCTGGCTCTCTGTCTCTGTCTCTGTCTTTCTCTCTCTGTCTCTGTCTCTCTCATTCTCTCTGTCTCATATTTGTATCCTTAGGACTTAGCATAGTAGCTGGCACATAACATGCACTTAATAAATATTTATTGACTAAGTTTGTTTTCTTTTTTCTCTTTCTTTTCTATCTTTTACTTAATTTAGATAGAGGGAGGTAGGAGAAAAAAGAAATGCTTGATAATTGGGAAAAATAGCACGTTAAAATATAAATAAATACACACTTTTTTTAAAAAAAAGAAAAAAGTAAGGCTCAAGCAGGTTAACTAATTTGTGCAAGGTCATACAGACAGTAAGTGGAGGGGACAAGAATTGTACAATTTAATAGGGAATATAAGACCATATATTAGTCAGTATGATACAAAATAGAATATACGAACAAGGGTTTAGAATGGTAACAATCTAACTAGAAACCTGGTTAAGTCACTATCTCAGAAGTAACATACTTGTCAAATATAAGGAAAACTCAACTTTGTGCAGAATGAGGCTGTGGGTGGCACCAAAGGTCTTTGGAGGTCATTAGCTCTTTTAATTGAATTTGTTTGCCAAATCACATTTAATTAACTTGATGCCTTACATTTTTTTTCAAAACAAATGTCTAAACCAGAACAAAGAATTGGAACAGTCCTAACTTCATGAAACTATGGACACACTAGCCACCTACTTACAGCAGAAAACATACTTTAGAAAAGAAATAGTTGTAAATTTTAACCTTTCAATGGATGACTAAGAATAAGCCTCTCCTACCACCCCCTGGGAAAAAAGGCTTCCTTAAAAATTTTTGAATAGTATTTTAAAAATTATTCTTTGTTGATTTTTAAGTGAATTTTAAACATTTTATATTCAATCTATTGTAACCTGAATGTCTTATTGAGCATGTGGCCATTTGATGACCAAACAGGGTATTAGGATTTGAAAGAAATCTATGAAAAGAAGCCCAGGTTTCACAAAATATAGGAACAGAAAGGGACTTTAGACATCTCATTGAACTTAACTCTTTCATTTTGCAAAGGAGGAAATGGAGGCCCCTAGAGCAAAGTATCTTGACAAAAGTCAAAGAGCACAAAAGTACAAAGGCAGTGTGGCTCTTGAGTCAGAAGATCTGGGTTCAAATCTCACTTCTGACACTTACCACTTCACATATACAACCTTTCAAAAAATAACTTACCCTCCCTAGGCCCCTCTGTTCCTCATCTGTAAAATGAGAGAATTGGAATGGATATCTTCTGAAGGCTTATTCCAGTTCTAATTCTCTGGCTCTATGCAGGGTTTGAATTTTTGCCTTTTGAAGTTTCTCAAACTTACCTTGGTGTACCTTCCACTATGCCACCATCCCCCACCTCTAAACAAGCCTTTGTAAAATAATCTAAATATGTCCCTCCAGAAATAAGCAGTCAGCTGAAACAGGCAGATGCTGTTTTCCTTTTTTTAACTGTTTAATTGCCAAAACTTAGTTCACAGCCACCAAAATTGTTCCTCTTTTACTCTGATTTTAATTAAATTTTACATTTTGTGGAAAGGAGTCTATAGTAGAAGGGGATTTATGAGTCATCTGCCATCCCTTTTATAGAGTCAATGGTGATTCCTCAATTAAAAAAAAACTTGATAGTTTGCTTTGTAATAGAAAAACATTTCTAGAAATGATTCGGAAACCCAGACAGCTGTTGCAACAAAGCCTATGATATGAAAGGGAAAAAAGAACTTTGAGAAAGTATGAAATAAAGTTAATTTCTAATAAGCATAGTATTTCTATCTCCTTAGTCTTAGAGGATATTTTTTGAGGGTAACTGGGTAGAAGTTCACCTCTAAACTCTGGCTATAGATTATATAATTCCTTCTACACCCAGCTAAATAACATGTCGTTTCCTCTTGTAAAAATTATCAACCAGCTGGGATTCCAAATTAGATATCTAAAGTGTATCTGAGATTCAAAGTCCAGTTAAGTGACAATTCATAGGAAATATGTATCACTATAAAAGACTTGCCAATTTAGTATCAATTATTATTAACAGGAGAAAATTCCCTTTACCCCAGTCCACATCCTGCAGCAAAGTGAGAGCTGAGAACCTGATGTATGAGACTAAAGGCCAGCTCACTATCCCCCCAGGTGCCAAGCTGGGGAAAACGTCCATCTCCTCCGGTAGCAGGCAGCAGCAGCGGCAGTGGCATCTGGCTCCTTAGTGTGCTCCACAAGCAGTGAAGCTGACAGCTCTGAAGTTGCCTCTGGGTCTGTCATGTAGTTAGGCTGCTGGCTGGGCTGACTTATTCTACTAAATGCCATTTTTTTCCTCAGACTTACCTTTGATCCCTGGCTATTTGCATATTGTTATGTGCTCTGGAGAAAAAAAGTCCCTGGGTAAATACCTCCTGAGAGTTTTCTTTGCATTTACATAGTAGAGAGAGAAAGAGAGACAGAGAGAAAATGTGATGTGATTCTGGGCAGGAGGTGGAAGCCACATTCCATGGTGCATTATCATAAGATAACCTGTCTACACAGCTGCAACGAGCACAATTGTTATTGCAGACTAATTTCTTGTGAAGGCCTGAGTCAACTCTGGCAGCTCTTTCCTCAGTGGCTAAGCTCAGAGATTCATTAGACTCAAGGAACCAAAACAGTATGATGTAATGGAAAGATGTCTAGATTTTGGACTCAAAGGATCTGGGTTCAAATTCTGTTTTTGCCTTTGACTAATTCCTCTACTACTTGCTACCGTTGTGACATTGGGCAAGTCACTTAAGTTCTTTTTTTTCTTTCTCTCATCTACTAAATGGAGGGTTAGGAATGGATGATCTCTAAGATTCCTTTTGTCTCTAAAACTATAGTATTATGATTTTTGTGGCCTTCTAGGGTCTGTCTATATCTAAATTCTATGAAAGCCTACTCAGTATGAAGTAAATTCACAAAATCTCACTCTGATGAAGTAAATACCACAAAGAACCTCCTTACCATTGCATATATTGGTCAAAATGATGGTCTCATGTTTAACTATTGGGCATTCTCTGCCTGGCCAATATACTTATAGATAGGCAGAGTAGATAGATACCTCCTAAGACATGATATCAGGTACTTTGGAATGCACTTCTGACCCAAACCGATATTTACCTTTATTTGATCAATTTAAATTACTCAGTACCTTTAAATAATTCAATGGAAGACACTCTTTTGTTTCACAATTAGAAATAAAAGAAACAAATTACAAATTGTTAGAGCTAGAAGGGGCTGCTCTGCTCTCTAGTACTCAGTTCCTCCTTTATAAAAAGGCAAGGTTGGAGTAGTTCAGGAGTTCTTAATTTGGGGTCTTTGAATTTTTTCCTTATATTTTATAATTATTTTTCAAAATAGGTGGTTTCCTTTCTAATCCTATTTATTTATTTGTATTTTAAAACACTGTTTTGAGAAAAGGTCCACAGCCTTCACTAGAATGCTGAGAGGTCCATGACAGAAAGATGTCCAAAAACCTCTGAAACAGACAATCTTTAAGGTTTCTTCCAGTTCTAAATTTAATGATCCTATAATCTTATATCTGAAAATACCCCCTAGCATCTTATCAGAGTAGCTGGGCCCCAAAGCAGTACAGCATGCTAAAGAATAATAATGGCAGTATCCCCAGGAATGTGGCAGCAAATAAAGGAGAATTCCAGGGACCTCAGGGCATAGATAATGGCCTGCCTTGCTTAATTCTCGACCACATTCCAATGGTAGCCAGTTTCTAGGTTGTACAAATGTATCTTATTAAGACAGTCTGGACAGTAATGTGAGCAGTTTTTCCTTTCCTATGCTTAAGTAGATGATTAGAAAACAACCAATATTTATTCAATGCTTAGGGAAATACAAAGTTTAGATAAAAACCTCAAAGTTGGAAAGGAGTATGGAGTTCATATAACACAACTAAGCAGGAATGCTGACAATAGTCTTAACAAAACAATTAGTCGTCCAGTTGTTGCCTGAAGATCTCCAATGTGTGGGGAAACCAACGGTTTTCCTGAGGCATTCCTCAAGAAGCTCATAGTCAAGTAGACCTATGAAGTCTCTTCTAGCTCCCAACTTTTTCTGATCATATAATCTTATGATCCTGCTCTCCTCTATCTTGAAACAAGAGGTAAAGGTATAGGAGTACAGAATGGAAATATCCTACAAAATCAGACTGCTAACCTTCTTCCTGAAGGCAGAGGCAATGAGAGAGAAGGGGATAAGCACAGAGAACTTAGGGACTCCCAGAGAGGAAATTCATCTAATGCCTAGTGGCAGTTGTCCCAGACCATTACTTTCCATTTTCATAGCTGAATTATGGAGCAAAATGCAATACCTGGTGCAACTATACATACTGAGGCTATAATTTTTTTTTTGTACTGAGTACTGATCAATGCACTAAGAATATCATCAACCTTTTTGCTATAGGGAGATTGTTGTTGTATCACTTTGGTTTTTAACAGGATTTAACCTATGTAATGAAATTTGGCACCAGGTATATAACTTTTAGATGGCCTATACTCAGAATATTTTATAAAATAAATTGGGAGATCCATCTATTATGAAATGGTACTTCATAAGTTCTAATTGGGAACTAACTCATATTTATTAGGTCAAGAGGCTTGAATTTTTGAGCTGGCAGGGGTATATTCTTCTC